ACATTATAACCACCTAATATGATACGATTGTCTAACCTCGACATTTCAACTTTAATAAGAGTAAAGTACAAATGATTTCAGGACATTCCCAACAGTAGGACCCCTAATTGGGTTCTTAACAATTTTATAATATTAAACCAGAACTCTATAATAGTTTTAAATAAAAATTCTACTCCATTGTTTAGAACCTTTTTGAAAAAATTAGGGTTCTTAAAAAAAAAGTACATGATAACACATTCATTATGTTTCCATGGATGTTACTCCAGCATGTTTCATTCCCTTACAATCAGAAACTTTGCTTCTATTTCTACAACATGGTGTGTGCAACATTAATCTGTAAAGCTAATCTCCAACATTGGTCTGTGAATGATGTTTTGTATAACAACAACAGAGAATTGTGTTTTCCAACCTTGAAATTAAAGGAAAAAGACAAAACCAAAAATGGATGAATTTCGATGGACATATATCAGTACTTGAGTTTCCTACCTTTTGAAGGCTTTCCATGGATGGATTTTTCGGAATCTCATTAAGGAGGTCAGTAGGTGGATGATTCTGTTCTGCAGCAACCGTAACAGAGTCCAAGTAAATAGTGACTGTAAGTCTGCTGCTATATCCAATGTCAAGCTGAACTGCATAACATGTAAAATGCCCAGCAATTAGAATTATAAGTAATAAGCAATAGATCGAAGTGAAAATGGCATATAATTTTTTTTTTTTGTTTTCTAGAAAACAGTTTTTTCATTAATTGTAACGGTTACATCATGTAACTTACATGATACAACCAAAATCATATACTTTTGCAAAATATTACACTACGGTTAAAAGTTTGGTTTACAAACGAATTTGCTTCGTTTGTTTTAAATATCAAATAGAGAGATATCTAACCACGTTCACCATGGCTTCCACGTCCTCTGTTTCTTTGTCCACCGAGTTTGGAAGATGACTGCATCTCGATAAAATTGTCCATCATGATTATGGTGCATATAGAATCATTTATCGTATATGATTATAGTGCAAATAGAATCATTTCTCGTAAATTATTCATATATTTTATATATTTTACCAAATGTGTGGTGACTTAGTGGTAATAAAAAAATGTTGGTTTCTTTATGCCCCGGGTTCAAACCCATTTTGATTTTTGGTATGGAGAATTATTCTTTAAATCAGAATATCTAAAGGTTGATTCCAGATTTCGAAAAGACTATGAACCAAAGGTTAGAAATTCTCACGGTTTATCAAATAAAAAATGTAGAATTATTTGTTAGAAAATCGTTCAACAATTTCTAAATATTGCACAAAGTTAGGTTCGCTGGTCGAACGTCGTGGATAACAAATCATCTATTTCTCTAAAAATATTAATAAACCAAAAAAACCTACAACATAAATCATACATTCATAATAGCGTACCATAATTAGATCTCACCTCCTGTGAGAAAACAAAGAAACGTAACTCAATTTGTTTGTGTAGCTTAGACCATCTCCAATGGTTTACACCATTTTATTACATCAAAATGGTATAACACCAAAATGGTATTGGGTTTTGTTCCAATGGTTTACACCAATTGTTACACCTGTTGCACCAAAATAGAATATTCTAAGTATATTCTCTTTTTCAAATTCATTATTAATTGTTAATAATACACCATACTTTTAAAAAATTACGAATTGATCCCAACTATTTTATGGTTTTAAAAAATTTCATAAAATATAATATTAGTGGATCCGAAAGTGATTTACTGAAGTATTAAATTATTTAAATACTTTAGTTGTTGTTTATTTTAATTATTTTGGTGTTGTTTATCTTTAATTTTGGTATTTTATGTATTTTGAAATCTATTATCAATTTATGGTAGTAGATTAATATTAATTTTATGTTATATTACAATTTAAATTTTAATTATCTATAACTTAGGCAGTTCTATTTTGTTTTTTTTTGTCAATTTGAGGTATCATGAATATATTTGGGTAAAATAACTAATTTAGTTATATATAAACTTTACAATTGTTGTTATTTTTTTTTTATAACTCGAGTTAAAAATAACAAAATATTACTAAATTCAAAAAAAAAA